TTACAAAACAAGGAATTTTTTGAAGAGATAGGTTAAAAATATATTTATTATACTTTTTTTTATCAACTAACAAAGTATTTATTATATTTTTTATTATTAATTTATATAAAAAATAAAATTAACTTTAATTTAATCTATCATTTAATTGAAATACTTTACTTAGGACTAATGTTAAAAATAAAGTTTATTTTCCTTATTTTTTATGTAAATTAATAGTAAAAACTTACGAAACAAATAAAGATATCTTGATTAATGTAATTATTCTATATCTTATCTCATTTTGTACATATTTATATGATTGTTCTTCTCATTTTTAATTTTTTGTACTGTTAATAAAAATAACTTCTTTTCATTTTTTGATATTGATGTTCCCGTATAACTAGAACATATAGTTCTCTATGTTCCTTTATGTATATATGGTTCTCCTTTCTCTCTTGTCGGTGTTTTTCTCACAGCCTGGTTTTGGGGATGAAGTCTCTCTCAATCAGAGGAACATCATATTCAAACTTAAATTTTGTAAATTTGCATGATTCATTTCTGTGAAAATTCCCTCTCCATGACAGTCCAATTTAGATCATCATTAACATTCTGTATGTATTGGTTTTTTCCCCTTGAAGCCGAAGTGGGCAATGGAATCAGCAACATTTTTCCTTTATAAATTTCCTTGCTTCTTTTGCCAAAACTCTCTCCCTCTTTTTCTCCCTTGAGCTAGTGGGATGTTTTTCTTTCGTATGAGAAATGGGAAAAGCTCCTGAACTGGAACTCAACATCATTGGTAAGTAAGCATCCCCTCCATTTTTATTAAAAAGAATTCTGTTTCATCTATCAAACTAGCTAGAAGAAGAACTAAGCTGAGTTGATTTCCACTTTCATTCCTTAGTCACTAAAAAAAAAAAACAAAAAGAGTGCCTCCAAATTCTTTTACACACTGGTTGTTTTACTTAATTTGGGCTGTATAAGAGAATACAAACTTCTTGCCATCTTAACTTATTTGAATCTAAGAATTTTAAGAATTGTAATTTTGATGCTTATGTGTTTTTTTCTTACAGTTGAAGAAACAAAAGAAGCAACCTCAGTGGAATATACAACTAGCAAGAAGCTAACGAGCAGTGAACCCAAAAACTTCTGGTGGTGGCTCTGCATGGTTGTTTATACAGTCTTTGCAATCTTTGGCCAGTCAGCAACCACAGTCTTGAGTCGACTGTTGTAACATCCCCTTTAGAGAAATCATAGGTCCATCAAGTAGGGAGATGTATTGCACAGCTAAGTAAAGAAAAATACAAAAGAAATCTGTGATATCAAAATATTCAGTTTATGTATTATTCTCAGACTTAACACAGTACAGATAAGTTTAAAATTATAGAGGCAAATGAAAGTTTTGGGCAGATACAGATTTGCCTTACTGAAATTTGCAACATAACTTACAGTTAGCATAGTAAGGCCTCCACCCACAAAAATTCTTAGGAATAATAGCTACTCTTCATTGCTGCTATCTAAATGATGGGAATAACACCATGAGCTCACAGCCCAATAAGTATAATTCTTAATCTCAAGTTAAGTTGCTAATTTAATCTTTAGTATCTTGTGCAGAAAAATTTCTTTAATTCTTAGTTGTATGAACATTGTAGAAAATTGAGGCATTGTAGTCATAAGTGATCACACAAACACAGCACATCATAATAGTGATAACACAAACCATGGAGTACATTGAATGTGCATGCACTCACATTAGGTGCTAGAGCTAGTCATAGCACTTATCTATTGTGCAGAGGTTCACTAGTTCACTATTCTAACCCCCAAGCCTAGGCTGGGGTCCAAACTCTCCATAGTTCTAAGAGAATTACATTGCAAAACCACATATATCACATAATCATGCACAACAGATCCAATATTTACTTAACATAGTCTATAGAACTAATAGGAAGAGGCTATAATAAAGTGCCCAAGTCAAATGCATAGAACATGATCTAGAAAATTGATACACATAACATATTAACCTCAACACTTGAACTATAAAGATTTTACAGTTTTAACATAGGAGATTTTTAGGTTAACTTACTTCTGTATTTACTTGTTTTTTCTGTTATTTAACTGAAACTGCAACACCTAAATTTCTTATGTTTATTCTATTGCCTTATTTACCTTTAAACTTTGTTTGACAACTTTAACTTAAAATTGAGAATCACACTTACCTACACACTTTCTTCAAAAATCTTAAACTTGGTAGAATTCTTTAATATTCTCCTAGTCTTCTTAACCTATTTGCATTGTCTTTTTCTTTCTATTTTGGTCTAGCTATATGCAAAATATATGAAAATAGCCAATTTAGTAATATGGTCCAAGAAGTACCAGTCAAGTAGGTCTTAAATGCCCCCCACTTGGCCTACTTCTTATCCAGCCACCTGTTATTTATTTTAACAAGTTGTTGACAGCTGGACGATATTAATTTCTCCCTAAGATAGACACTAGGACTGCAGTTTATTAAATTAACATGCAATCCCCTAATTAACAATTATTATATATTTGTCCCTAATTCTAGATGAGATGAAGGGCTCTAACTTAAAATTAGTGCAATTAAGGACTTATTCTCTTTAACTTATTCCAAATAAGAACTGGGATATCACAATTGTACTATGAAAAAGATGGGAAGAGCATATGGGTCGCTACATTTGCACAACTACCAGGCTTCCCAATCCTCATTCCATTTTACTGCATCTCACTCTCACCACCCAAAAATCCCATCACAAACACACAAACAAAGCAGCCATCTGCCTTGGTTCTAGCATCGATCTATTTCTCCTTTGGCATATTCCTAGCAGCTGATACAATAATGATGTATTCAATTGGACTCTTTTACCTTCCAGTTTCTACTTTCTCCCTCATTTGTGCTTCCCAGTTGGCCTTCAACGCACTCTTCTCATTTTTCCTCCACTCCCAAAAGTTCACTCCCTTTATAATCAATTTCCTTGTCCTTCTAACCATCTCCTCAACCCTCCTGATATTTCAGGCTGATACTTCAGACCATGGTTTAATTTCTAAAGGGATGTATGCAATTGGATTCATATGCACCATGAGCGCATCCGCCGGGTATGAATTGATGCTTTCTCTTACACAAGTCTTCTTTACAAGGTTTCCAAAGGGAGAAACACAGACAAAAGTCTTTGAGATGATGATATACTAGTCAATAATTGCAACTTCTGCTGCTCTAGTGGGACTCTTCATCAGTGGAGAATGGAAAGGTTTGTCAAGAGAGATGGAGGAGTTTGGTCTGGGAAAGTTTTCCTATGCCATGACTCTAATTGAAACAGCTATAGCTTCACAGATCTTTGTTGTTGGGACAATACGATTGATTTTTGAAGTATCTTCTTTGTTTTCCGATGCCATAAGTGTCTTGGGTCTGCCTGTCATACCAATTCTAGCTGTGATCTTCTTCCATGATAAAATGGATGCAATAAAGGTAATAGCCATGGTGTTGGCCATATGGGGCTTTGTTTCTTATGTCTATCAATGTCATCTTGAAGATAAAAGCTCCAAGAGCGAATATAGGAGCAGCAGTGAAGTTTCTAATAGCCCCCTACTTGAAGAAGTTAGTTGATGGAGCAATCAGGCTTTCATAATTCTATCTAATATCATTATTTTCTGCAAAACAAGAAATAAAAAATAAAATCTCAAAAGTATAGCACCTTTTATCTACCTCGTGCAAATTAAGCATTTAATCATAAATGTTTTCATTGAAAACAGGATCAAAAGATGTTGCAATATGTTTATCCAACATACTATACAGAACCAAAAATATCCTACATCCCTAGTGCAGCTTAGATCCTGATTGATCAACTAAAATCTCCTATACCACTGATAATTGAACTGGTACTTCAAAATTGTAGAATGCACAATATCTCAATTAAGTGGTTTTAGTAAGAGTACCCATTAGCAGTAGAGTATCAATTACATAAGACAGCCAACACAATGAGCTCGAGGGTATTTTCTTTGCAATTTTGGCCACTGCACATGGAATTTATCCGCAATCCTTAAATGATAAAGCAGCCAACCACTTAAAGAGAGCCTTTTCACTCGTGCTATACTTTCAACTTAAAGGATAGACGACCATCTTATTCCCACCACCTTCAGAAAAAGTTGTAAAGAAAATTGATGAAGAAATGGGATTCCAGTAAAGAAAAAGTTTTAAGAATTTAACTTTTCTTATTTTGTTTTCTTTAAGCATTCAGATTCTTAAAGTGACAAAGGCAAGCTTAACTGAACTGGCTTCGAGTGAAAAAGTGTTAAACCTTAAACAAGAATGCAATTACACACAGAGGAACGCAAGTACCAGGGCTGTTGCAGAGAATCTGCAATTCAGGGAGGTTGATAATAAGAAACTTAATTCAAGCATAATTTGAATAAATGCAACATTTTATTGGGAAAAAACACACAAAGCTAAAAATAACATAAACAATACAACATGGGGTCTGATTCTGATCATCAGCCACAATACATGAGCTGTAGCAAGCAAAGTAGTCCACACAGAGGTTAAATATGATTGCCCAACTTCCTTACTTCTATAGATCTGCATGAACCGTGCAGAGATCTCCCTGACTCCACTCTGCAGCAACAACACATTCAAACACTAATCGTTTTCCACCACAACAAAAACTTTATACAAAAATAAATAGATAAATAAAAACAATTCAGTAATAAGAAGCAAAATCAATAGAAAGGGTTGTTACTTTGGCCTAGTTGCAGCTTAGTTTTGCTGTGAGTTGGTATGGCTTGAAAGATTTATGGGATCTACAAGTTGGCGCTCTGGTAGATATTGTTGAGCCTATAAAGAGGAAAATACTTCCACGTTTTTAAAACAATACATTAAGTTTAAGAAAATCAAATACACTTTTCTCAAACCACACAGACCAAAGCTCTCAAAGCACTTCTTTCTAAGCAGTTAATTTAAGTGCTAACTCCATAAGGGTCTCAACCACGCTTCCACATAATTTTGTAAAGTTACAATAGAATTGTACTTTTACCAGCATTTCCACATTATATACCTTGTACTTATTCAGTCAGAAGTTCAGATATCTCATGTGAAAAGCGACCCAATTTAATTGAAAATTCAAGAGGCAGGAAAATCATGGAAGCTATTTACAAGTGGAATAAATGAATTAAATAGTTTCACTTTAATGACCTCATTCTCATTCTCATTCTCATTCAGTTCACAATGACCAGCATGACTAATTAGGCGAACCATTTTAATGACCTCTCTTGGTGTCTTTTAATCTTTGATCATTCAAAGGAATATTTTTGTTTTAATCTATGTCCAACACAAATTAAAGATGTGTTTATTATATCTTTTAATAATTAATATCATAAAAAAAAAGTTAAAATTATTTTCAAAGCTAAAGTTATGTTGATGATTTTAATTAGATATTTGATAACATTAAAATTAATTAATTAATTACTAAAAAAACATAATAAATAACCTCATAACATCTGTTCCTAATGCATAAATTAAAAAAATGAAAAAATAAAAAACCAACGTCTTGTTGACTATATATTTTTTGAAATGCAAAAGGAATTTTATTTTATTTTGGGAGTACAAGAGTATTCCGAACCCGTTACAAGTGTTTAAATTTTGATCAACATAAGGCTCGCAAAAATACATTTGCCTACCAAAAGATTACGGGAACCCTTGTCTATCTCCATCAAATTCTACTTGTTAGTTCCACATTCCTTAATCCTCCTTCTGCTGCCACAGTTGATCTTCAAGCAGCTTGCAGGATTATGGATCCAATCTGATAAGGAAAAGAAACAGCTGCCCCTTTTACATTTTATCCAGCTGAATGCCCTGAGCTGTACCAATTCCAGCATCCTTCCCTTATCCGCCTCCTTTCCCTTAAATAATTTCTCATTTCTGGCTAACCAGATTGTCCATATTATAGCAAACCAGATACATTCCCATCCCTCCTTCTCCCCTGCTGTTTTTAGCATGTTGGAGTGTTGTTCAAACACCCTCCTGCAATCTCTATCTAGTACAGTCCTAATTCCCCACCATTTGTAACAAGCTGTCCAAAGTTTATAGGCTAATATGTATACGACCTGTTGGGGAATGATTTGAATAAATTACCTAGTTGGACTTTATTTTTTGTTAACGGAATGTAACTATTTTGTGATCTTTAGAAAGAATTAGGGCGGCTGAATTGACAGATTTCTTGGTAATTACTAGTACACATAGAGAGTTTTGTGATGGCAAGGCAAGCACCAAGCAGCTGGGTCATCCCAAGTCCCAAGTAGATGTTTCTGCACTTGGTTGATACTTTATGTCCGTAGCTTTGAAGAATCACAACAAAATGACAAAACTTAATACTAAATTATTAACATTTTAACATCATGTTGATAGCAGCATCGCCGGTAGGAATTGGGTGCTGAATTCCAATTTAAGCAGCAGTCAACAGAAGTTTATGCTTGTGAGTCTGCACTTTTTCTCACACCCCAGTTTGTTCCTTTTGGTATTTCATGAAAGACTTTGCCATGAGAGAAGCTCAAGAAGTTCAACTGGAGATCATGGGTCAGTCATCTTTCTACATGTCCTAAGTCCTAGAAAAGATTATTGAGGCAATCATGGAAATCCAATTTTCTTCTATTTTCCTTATTGCTTGATGCATCAAGTGTTGCTGTTCCTCAAACACTCTTCTCCATCTCCACATCATGTCATTGTTGTGCCTCAATCATAAGAGCAAATAAAATAACTAGTGAACTTATCAAGAAATATCAATAAGAAAACATCATCAAAATAGGCGTGAAAACTTACTTATTTTAAGGCGATATATGCCTAAACCTTTCGTGTCTCTACAGAGAGTAGATCAACCGGTACAATGAAGATATATACAACATGTCGCCCCCAGGATGCTATACCTTTATAATAACACTTTATGAATTTGCACTATTCATAGATTCACCTAACTCAAAACATCCTTTTTTACTTAAAAATATTTTGAAGATAGAATAAGGTAAGAAAATAGAAGAATGTGGAGAAACACACTACTTTGAGCAAAGACACATGTCCTATTTATAAGACTCATGGTCTTATAACTCACATTTGTAAGTTAATGATAGTAATAAATTGGGCAATTATTATGAAATAATGTGCCTTTAAGTAAGGCAATTAACCTACAATAGTTAGTTTGACCAAGTCTTTAATGGAACAATAAATTCAATTTATAAAATATATTATTTAATTTTTTATTAAAATATTTAAGTTCCAACAATTCCCCCATTATGTTAATAAAAAATAAACCTTTCTTTTGGGCAAAGATGGATTATTATGCATAATAAAGGTAGTTAAGTCTTGAACCTTTACTTAGTGAATAAAAAATTCTTAATCCAAATTCAATAATAAACTAAGTCTTGAACTATGACCCTATTGGAAGATACAAGAATTGTATCACACACATAATCATCCGAATGTTAAGTTTTTTCACATAGCTGGTGTATTATGGCCTTGCGCATAATCTCAGTTTTTATGGGTGATTTAGAAAATTGCTCATCCAATTTTTCATAGAAGCGACCTCGCTTCAACACCCACATAGGTGAAATTTGTCAAGGATGCTCCCATAACTAATAACTAAGACACTAAGACACCCTACTCTATGAGCTACAAATTTCATTAAGAGTATAAAACTCAACCCTCAATTTGTTATGGAATAAATGCATCATCACCTTAGGAATGAGATCAAAAAAATTTTCAATTAAATATTGATGCATCTTTCAACAACAACTTTTCTATGATTCATTTTTCCCGTTCAAAACCCAATTCTCAAAATTTGAGTTGGGTATCCTCATAGGAAGTTCTATATTATTGGGCTTGAATCCCATTGCCCTCGATGAGCACTAGACCTTGGACTATAATCATAGTTCTTCCTCCAACTCTTGTTTTTACCAAATGCCTAGTTGGTGGAATAGTGGGCAACAAAGAGATTTAACTCATTCTTTTTCTCACTTTTTCAAATCAACCCACGTGTCTACTAACTCATAAAATTCACATTCATATTTCTCAAATTCTCAATTCATGGTACCACAATTTTGATATCAAATTGAGCTAGTGAACCACCATTTTCTTTCCATACATGTAGAGACATGTATTTAAGAATTTTTTAACTCAAACACCATTGTATCTTGTTGTACAATAGAAAGGTCCATCACACACCCCTTTTCTCAAATGCCTTATTATTAGTTTTTTCATCATACACCATTATACCATAATTATATAATAAGAGTGCATATCACATCTGCTTTATTAAGCACCATTATACATTATTGTATAATAGGAATGCTTTGCAAAATTTCAATTAAGCACCATTGGTCTCATCACCAATAATGATACATAGGGATATCATAATCCCTCACATTAGGAGCATCTCAAATATGTGATTTCCACATTTATCAAATAATGGAGTTTATGGAAAACTCATTTTCTCACAAG